CAGTGCCTAACCCCCCACCACCTGCAGGCGGCTCCCATCTGTGCCTTCCCCCCCACCTGCAGGGGGCCCCCCTCAGTGCCTAACTCCTCCACCTGCAGGGGCCCCCCTCTGTGCCTCCACCACCTGTGGGGGCCCCCCTCAGTGCCTAACCCCCCACCACATGCAGGGAGCCCCCCTCAGTGCTTAACCCCCCCCACCTGCCGGGGCCCCCTTCTGTATCTCCCCCCACCACCTGCAGGGGGGTCCCTCCTCTGCCTTCCAACCACCACCTGCAGACCCCCCTCAAGGCCTTGCCCCCACAATCTGCAGGGGTGTCTCTGCTTCAGCCCCTCCTCAGCCCTGCCCACGTGCTGCCTCAGGGCTGCTGTGTGGACAGACCCGCCCTGTCCCCCAGTGAGAGGTGGGTGGGCGCTGACGGCCCTGTGGGGAAGCCCTGCAGGACAGACTGCGGGGGTCCCTCAAGGGGCCGCTCTGACCACGCCACCCTTTGAGGTTCAGGCCTGGGTGGTGCGCACCCCAGCCCTGGCAGGCCCCTGCTGCCCTGAGAGCCCCGGTGGCAGGGCCTTCCCCGGCACACCCCACTGCGGGTCGGTGTGGGCCCAGCCGCCTCCACGGGCCTCGGGGAGAGGGACGCTGCCCCCGGCCCCGAGCTGCTCGCAGGTGCTAATTGTGAAATCAGCTTCCGCCGTTTCTCTCAAGTAGTTTTTGGTTCTTCTAAATATTAAAAAAAAAAAAAACAACTCCCAGCTGCTCAGACTAGTCAGGATTCCAGGAGCTGCCGCAGTGGCCGGCCTGGGTGAGCGGCTTCCGGGGGCCGCGGGATAGACACCCCAGCGCCTACCTGGACACAGCGGCCCACCCTGCGGCTGTCACGTCAGTGACCTGGCCACCGCCCGCCCCGCGGGGCGCCCCCAGACTGCACCTCGCCCCTCCCCCTGCTCTCCCCTGGCGCCTCTGCGGGAGGCCCGCCCAGGACGCCCGCAGCTGCCTGGTGGCCAGCCCGCTGCCCTGGTGCAAGGGCCAGTGGCCAGCCTCCCCGGACCCCCGCACCGGCCCCGCGCGCGGGCAGGCCTGCCTTGGCGGGCTCCTTCCTGGGTGGCCTCTGGTCTGCCACTGGGGTCCCGGGCACACCCCTCGCCCCCCACCGTGCCTGCAGAGGAGCGGCCCTCGGGCCAGGGCCACTCCCGTCTTCTCCCCTTCTCTGGCCCAGGGTCACAGAGGTGGGCACAAACTGGCTGGCATCTGGCCACAGCAGGGCCACCCTCAGGTGCCAGGGTAGAGACCCTTGTCCCCTGGAGCCAGTCCTGGCCGGTGTGGGCCCCGGGGGGGGGGCGGCGTGGGGAAAGGGAGCCCCTGGGTGAGGTCCAGCGGCCAGGGGCGGCAGAAAGTCTTTATTGGAGGAACTGGGGGGAGGGGTGCGTCGGCCACTCCAGCCATTCCCCAGGGGCCAGATGAGCTTCCGCGAACACGGAGGTGTTGGGGCAAAGTGGGGGAGCACAGAACCCAGCGCTGGGGGGCGGTCTTGCCGATCACCTGGGCCTGGAGGTGGGGCTCAGGCGCGGGGCCCCGGGGGAAGCGGCAGGCAACCCAGCGCGGAGAGGCAGACGGTGCCGTAGGCCTGGGAGTAGCCCCCGAGCGCGGCCCCCCGGGTCCCCCCCGCGGCCG